GAAAGACATGAAGACATACAAATGTGTTCAAACCTGCAGCTACTGCGGCTGTCAACAGTAATCTCATCATTCCACTCTCCGATGCTTCCTTCTCAAACGCGGCCAATAGTTCCTGGCAGAGAACCGTGAATCGCTGTTTGTCTTGTTTAGGTAAATTTTGACGATTAGCGGGGTATGCTCAGTCCAGGACGAAGCCATCAAATTTGTACTTTCTCAAATACTTCAGCACAGAATCGATGAAAGTTCGTCGATTTGAAGCTGTGTTGGCCATCCGAGAGAACGGGCTGATAGGTCCACCTTCGTGCGACCAGCCGCCAACAGCCAGAAGCATCTTTAACTCGGGGTTTTTCTGCTTGAGATTGTAAACTTCAGCATACAATTTGTCGTCATTCCATTCGTAAGGAGCGATTTTGTTTTGGTCGTCGATTTTAGCAAAGGCGTAGATCACATGAGTACTGAAAGAAAAGGGGTTGATGTCTTTGGGAAAAAATTTCCCGATGCCTGTGCGATATTGAGCCCAGTTTGAGAAATAACAAACCCAAACATACTTATCTGCTTGGGCAAGGTAAATTACTGAAAATGTCAGCAAAAGATACGTAGATATCAGGCGCAGCATCTTGCTTGCAAAATCGGTTTGTCGGATAAAACGGAAAAGTAGTTCTTTATATACAGGCACAAGGGCGAATTAGCTGCTGGAGATTTCCTTTTCAAACGTAAATATGCTTGTTCTGCACAGTCGCCTGACTAAACAAAAATGTACACAGTGTTGTATACAGGTTTTGTTCAAGAACGAAGACATGCAGTTATCACGTATTCCATACACCCCGTGAACATATTTATGTACTTAAGAACTACGTGTATTTGTCAGCTTCTTCAAACATCAGAGACAACGGGGTGGATGCAGGTGGAGTGCTTTATTTTTTGAGGTGTTTGAACGCTCTAATGAAACAAGAAGTACGTGCTTCATGAGCGGATCCTCATAAAGAAAGAACAAAGTGTTTAAAACTGAGAAGTCTCTTCTTTTGGGTTTTCTTGATAGGAGCTACTTCTTATTTTCGGCAACTCTATCGAGCCTAACTATTAAAACAGGGATAAACGAAAAGAGGATGGCACTGAAAAGGGACACAAATGCTGAATCACAATCAGTGAGAGGACAGAATCTGTCGATATTTTGTGAAAAGAGGAAAGCTAATAGTAAGATATAAGTAGTTTGTGAATGCCCAATGACAATGGTAACCACATGTGAATCTGGCCTTATCACGCGAACCACCTTTTAAAAGTTGTAAGTAGTCAACATTTACGAGCAGAGTATCTGACTTNCAGCTTCTTCAAACATCAGAGACAAAAGGGTGGATGCAGGTGGAGTGCTTTGTTTTTTGAGGTGTTTGAACGCTCTAATGAAACACGAAGTACGTGCGTCATGAGCGGATCCTCATAAAGAAAGAACAAAGTTTTTAAAACTGAGAAGTCTCTTCTTTTGGGTTTCCTTGATAGGATGGCACTGAAAAGGAACACAAATGCTGAATCACAATCAGTGAGAGGAGAGAATTTGTCGATATTTTGTGAAAAGAGGAAAGCTAATAGTAATATATAAGTAGTTTGTGAATGCCCAATGACAATGGTAACCACATGTGAATCTGGCCTTATCATGCGAACCACCTTTTAAAAGTTGTAAGTAGTCAACATTTACGAGCAGAGTATCTGACTTGCCTATGACATTGGAATAGCTTAAAACAACAGTGAGGTCATTGGCAGTAAATAGCGGTTAAGTCTTAGAAAAGGAAAGATTGGATCATTAGCGGTAAAAGCAACACAAATACAGGTGTTGTAAACTGTGCTTCAGTTACACGCTTTTTGTTGTTGAGTACCATTATCCAGTCCTGAGTGACGTTTTTGAATCTAAGCTTACAGCAAGACACGAGTCAGAGAATTTCTCTCGCGGTAAAGATGCCGGTCTCCACGCTGTGAGCTTAAAAAACTCCATCGCGGCAAACGTACGTGGTTCCTTCTCTGAACTGAGTATAACACAGCTCCCAAGAAAACAGCTCCCAAAATACTATTGCCACTAAAAGCAGTAACAACTTGAAAGCAAATAATTGTTTTCTCTTGAACCTTGAAACCCCAATTAAGAAACAAACTTTACACCTTTGACCCACGTACACTTTGTTACATCATGTAAATTTTGATTCGGATTATTGCTACATTGATTGCATTGTCAACGGAACCTAGCCTGTTTCTGTGAATGAATGCCGAAAAACAAAATAAAAACAGTGTAAACTACATGCCGTCCAATCTTTACTTTTCAAGCTTTACACACTGTAGTCTTGAAAATTTTCAGAGACAAAAATTCTCCGCTCGATTTGCTACATCCAGGGTTCACAGCAGAGACAGAATATGTACAAGACTTAGTTAGGTTGAGCGAGAGAGTCGTAGAGGTCACGTTCGATCCTGTTCGGGACGGGAACAACTATAATAACATCTTTTTTTTTTCTCATTATAAATATGAATACTTTAACAGTTTTAATTTATTTAATATAGGTAGCATGTCTTACTAGTGAGGTAACTGTTATAATCTTGTTTGAACGCGAGTAGAGGATAAATGAATCATTAGGTTTTCGAGTTAGCCTTCAGCCTAGTTATGTCTATTTGTAGGACAGGAGAAGTGAAGGAAGAATTTGCAGTTTACAGTTTTGTTTAAGGGAAAACGAAAAGAAAATTATCTAATTCGGTTATGCCGGGTCCGACAGTCACAATTATCTTTTTTTTTTGAAAAAGCAGATACGCTAAGTTCTTTGAAATGGGTTGGAAGTTCTTTCCAAAGATCTATTGCCTGAAAAGATATCGTCTGTTTTCCTTATTTGTCCTTATGCGTAGTTTGTGTAAATTTTGTGCAGATGCCTATCATGGCCGGTATTGTAACTATGTTAATGCACGAACTAAGAAGAGACTCAACACCTAGATCTTCTCGTGTATGAAGATAGTAAAGATTCTGAAAGGCAAAGCTTGTAGTTTTTACATCTCGAAGCTCGCACAAAATGTGAGATTTATCTAGATCATAGTTAGTCTATGTCTAGATCTTAAACCAAGGGTCTTGTGAACTAATATCTATCTTATAACCTTTTGTGAAATGTTGATCTCTAGGAAGAAATTTGCTACATAAAATTTCACCCCTCTCGTGGTTTCCGCTTGAATCAATAATTGACAAAGTTCTCTAGAGCGAGGCAAAAATATTTGCTGTATGCCTGTCGCCCTTAATCCTCTGTAATTTTTCTTTTCATTCACGCTTTCACAGAATAAAGTATTTTGGTCAGAGTTTTTTTAAGCTCATCTCTGTATGGTGGTGTTCTCATTAGTTATTGTAACTGGACTAAGTGGATTACAATTCAGGGAGTAATCGGGCGAGTAACTTCGAAATCGGACGAGCGCGCAGTGCAAGGCCGATTTGAAATTATGAGCACGATTACTCCCTAAATTATACGACACGAGGTCCAGTTACTAATTAATCCTATCTATAACAAATTTCGAGATCATTGAAAACTTCTCTTTTGAACGAGTAGAGTTTTCCATAAGTTGTAAAAACTGTAGGGAACATTAGAATTGACGTGCGAATAGCCTAGGTATTCAGTGACAGGAATCCAATTGCAAAAAGTAAAATTGGATACGCACGTAATCGCGATTCCTTGACAAATAGGCGCGCGGAGAACCAATCACGATCGAGAATTTTGTTATAGATACGGTAAAAGAATAAATTATGGTTTTCGGATACCCTGATAAGTTGCGTGCACAGTGGAGTCACTACGCAGGAAAGAGCGGTGTAAAGGCTTTGCTTTTTCTTGTTACCTGTCCACTACTCAAAGTTTTAACATTTGAGGAAAATAATGTTCATACTGTTAAAAATTAACGCGCCATAGAGACAGAGAAGTTAGATTTTTTCTGAGCTGCTCACATTTAATGAGTGTCATAATACACATCACACTCGGTCGTATGGACCGTTTTACGTTTAATTTCCTCAACTTACAACTGTTGTCAGACTTTCTTCTTCTCTTGTAAACGTCACTTTACATTTTAAAGAAGTGAAACTTTTAAGCGCACACGCACATATTCGGTGGACAGTTTCCCACGGCACAGTTGGACGTACACCATTGATCCATTCCAGTATTCCCTTCCCAGGCTCCTGTAGCCTTGCACGATCCAAAGGGGGGTGCATTGGTAGGGGGCTGGGTGTCGGGTGGGGGTGGAGCCGTGCTCACTGTTGGTACAGCAGTTGGATTGGGTCCTGTTCCTCCACCCAGTGCTTGTTTGACTGCATTTATCAGAGGGTACCTAAAACAACATGACAACAAGCTACAATTCACTTTACATGTCACATTGAGATGTATTGTCAGGATATACAATTATCCGTAGGAAAAAAAGATGGCGACTGTACATTAACCACAATACCTCGCGAACCGGCGCGGTGTTCTCACAGTTACTGCGCTCGCCTCCGCAGCAAGCGGTCCTGGTTCAAGCCCTGGTCGGGGACGATGTGTTGTGTTCTTGGGCAAGACACTTTACTCTCACAGTGCCTCTCTCCACCCAGGTGTACAAATGGGTACCGGCGAATTTAATGCTGGGAGTGACCCTGCGATGGACTAGCATCCCATCCAGGGGGGAGTAGAAATACTCCTAGTCGCTTTGTGTCACAGAAACCAAGCTAAGCTTCGGCCTGATGGGCCACTTGGCTCGTATACAGACTTTACCTTACACACCTCGCTAACCTAACACAGTCTATTTAGCACAAGCATGCTCGGTTTGAAGGTTTTAGAACTTTCCTGTACGTATTTAAGAACATTATCAACGTTTTCTTGAGCTATGACAGTATGGGTAAATGTACCAGTCGCCATGTTTTATCCCACGGAGGATTAGTCTTTATCGGGACAACCTATTGATACAAGAGAGGACGATCATCGTCCCTTGACTGGTAGCAGTTTTACCCATAAAACGGAAGGAGACAACCTATGAAAATAAATGTTTAAGTACCATTCCACTGCCAAGGGACACCCCATTCCGAGATGGAGTAAGGCTGCGATAAGGAGGTAAATCAAACAGATGCGACTTTCATTGTTTAGATTTC